ATTGTGAGATAGACAACAACTTATGAAATGATATTAATATAATGCAGACAGAAAGATTATAACATGAGAACAATACAGATCAGGCGTCGCCCTTTTTCTCGTGTTTTTTTATGATGGCAAGAACTTCTTCCACATCTTCGGACGAACCGAGGAAAATGGGTGATCTTTCATGAAGACTGGTGGGTTGCACGTCAAGAATTGGGATTTTTCCGTTACTGGCCGAGCCGCCAGCCTGTTCCATGATGTATGCCATTGGAATACATTCATAGAGAAGTCGAAGCTATGTAAAAAACAATGAAATGAAAACATAATACGTATTTTTGAAATAAAATTCATTATTTCGAGTTTGAAGTATGAATTTGAGAAATGTTCGAGTTTGTCAAAATTCCGACTGAACTAAGAATATATATTGGATATTGAAATAGTGTCTGTATTAACTATAATTCATGAAAAATATTTGGGTTACTGTCTATTTATCCAAATTAAAACAATGTTTTTGTTTTGAGTGAGCTTTTGGAAATATTTACTTTTTTGTCAAGATTTTCTACAAAATACAAAATGGTTATTGTATAAAAAGATAAGATCTCAATTATGCAACCAAATAATAGAAGAAGAAAAATGTATCAGTAGACAACTCTAAAACCTATCAAGAGTACGAACCTTTCCTTTTGGTGAAGAAGTCGTAGCGGGGTAGATAAAAATCCCACCATACTTAATGGTCCTGTGTACATCAGCTACCATAGATCCGACATATCTGGCATTATAAGTCTTTCCTTTAGAAGGGTCCTTCTTGTTAGCGACATACTCTTTGATGGCATCATCCCATTGATGAGTGTATCCTTCATTGATAGCATAAATTTTGCCTCTCTTCGGAACTTGCATATTCCTGAAACATTTGAGGAGATTTCGTATAGATTTGGAAAAAAAAAACAGTTTCAATTGAGAAGATGATAAGTCAGTCCCTGAAGATTTTAAACTGTATTCACCTCAAACTCTATTTACCTTCTTGTGAAACTAAACGAGACTGTCTTCCAAAAAACAGAAGTTAATAGATAACATTCGAATTACTGAGCGGTTCAACTAAATGAATGTATTATACCAAGAAACCTCTCGAGCAGTTTTTTTTATATAATTCTACCAAACATTATATGCTCTTAAAAACACGTCTAATCTTAGCGGCTGCCACAGACAAAGTTTACAATGAATACAACTGAAAACTTAAGGTACTTATATATTTACATATACATATATATTTATTGTTTGTATATAGGTGTATAGGTTAAGTTGTAAAACTGTGCCACCTGAACTTTTGGAGGCTACATCTAATAACAGAATTTTGGTTTTTGTATATTCATCATTCCATTTTGAAAAAAAACTTGAAAAGGTAACCCCTATAGTAATTCTAGATTGCTCAGGACAACAAATCTAATTGAATGTGTCAACCTGTCAGTCAAGATGAATTCTCCTATACTAGGATCTAGCATGAATCCATGAACCCCATTTCCTGTAGAAATCACCATCATGGTAGCGCTTCCATAGAGGGCGTATCCAGCTGAGACAACGTTTCTTCCCGTCTGAAGTGCGTCTTTCAGTGTTGGGATGGTGTTGTCCTCTTTTTTAAGGATGGCGAAGATGGAACCAATCGAAACGAGGCAGTCTATGTTGGAGGAACCATCCAAGGGGTCAAAACAGACAATGTATTTTCCTCTTCTTTCAACTTCAACCTAGGCAACAATAGAATTTAGAGTTTATTTGATAGAATTTTATGTAATATACTTTATTGAAAGTAAGTAATGGAAAATATATCAGCTGTGAATTAGTCTTTTCTCTTAAAACTGATTGTTGAAATGGGAAAAATGAAAAATATGAGATAAATTGTTTTTTTCATCCAATTCCATCATAACATTTTGAATGAATATTGAATGAAACATCAGAGCTTACATCATGAACGCAAAGAATTGAGAAATGCGTGTAGGCCAGATTGTGAAATTGACATTACTATCCAAATTCAATGTAAATACTTCCATCAAATTTGGCATTCCAAAAATGAATAATTACGAGGGCATCGATGATTTCGAAGGCATACGTGAGGTGTAGAAGTATTGATGGCATATAATTGCATATTAAGGATATTTTGAAGGTAAAAGACTCAAATTTTACAATGTTTGTAAACTTGTTGAGATTACATCACATACTCATAATAATGGTTAACTTAATGAATGAGGTTATAATTTGAAATTCCATCATACTTCTACCTTCCTTACCTCAAATTAAATGAGTTCCACTTAATGGAAATAGGTGACTGACTAGAGATTTTTTGAAAAACTGGAAAATGTATCCGTTTTAGAAAAAACCATGTCATGTTCGGGTTGATTCACTAAGCCACGAGGACAACTATCTTAATTTTTCATTGTTTCCTATTCCTATATTTTAATAACGTATAATCTAGAAAACTGTACTAATATATTTTCATACCTCTATGACAGTTTCGTTCTCTTCTGAAATCAAAAGGGCTACTGTATATGACGACTTAAGCATATTAATAAAGAGCTCATTTGCAAGAACATCTAGCTTTTTCACTTCTTCTCCTTGGACATTGGTTTCGCCAACAGTACCGAATCTATAAAAAATAATTGACCATAGCCTCATGCATAGATGCAATACTTCAAATTATATTATGTAAATCCGAAGAACGATTATAGTAAAACTACCAATAAACTGATTTATACATGGAATTTCAGTGGAACGGTAGCCGGATTAGTTTGAGTGTTCCAGTTTACTCATTCCATCCACACATGCTAGGAATCGCACGTTAAAAGGTAAGAGCTCGTTAACCCTTATCTCGCACAAATTCCGACTGTTGAGGGTTGGCGTTTATTGGGGGCCTCACGTGGTTAATGGAAAAACAGAATATGATGATCAGTTGATAGTCCAGATGTGAAACTATTTGTTTTTTTGCTGTTTTTCATCATTGATCTTCATTAAAATAATGGTTTTCATTTTCATTGCCTACATATTTCACTTTATTGTTCAATTTATTAATACATTTTCATTTCAGTACAATATTTTTTTTTAAAAATGAACTTTCTGATATTTTTCCGTTTTCTTTCAAAAAATCTTTCTCCCAAAGATTTCAAATTTATTATTAACACCTTTAACATTTTAAGCAAGAAACATTGTCAACCACATTTAAACAAATAACTGAAAACCATTTCCACCCTGCTAAACCATTATTTTGCTCCGAGTTCTGCTCTTGATATTTTCCCAGAATATTTAATAACAATATTGAAATGAAAATAAATTTTTCGTAAGTATGTTTCCATTTGAATTCAGACCCATTACAAAAAAACACATTTATCATGTAAGCAGTTTTCGTGCATAATTAGGTTTCAGCACTCTTATGTCAATATCAATCAGAAAATAGGATGGCTATTCTGGAATTCGATAGAAAGTTAGTTTCTACTCGTTTTACTCTCACTTCTTTTCCAAACAAAAAAATAAAGAGAGGAAAGAAAATCAAATGAGAATGTTGCCAAACTTCACCTTAATTTTTTCGACAATCTAAAAATGCTTGAAGTTATGACAGAAGATTACTGCTGTTTTCACTTGGTGTGGCCAAGTTATTTAAATCATATTAACGGATAAGAACATAAATACAGCTGACAGACTGAGTCATGGCCGGTGAGAATCCTATCCCTCAATAAAATAAATATGTATGTACGATTTCTCCCACCGACCATGACTCAGTCCGGTAGCTGTACATACATGTGTAAAATGGCTAAAAACTCAATTATGCAACCAAATAATAGAAGAAGAAAAATGTATCAGTAGACAACTCTAAAACCTATCAAGAGTACGAACCTTTCCTTTTGGTGAAGAAGTCGTAGCGGGGTAGATAAAAATCCCACCATACTTAATGGTCCTGTGTACATCAGCTACCATAGATCNGCCTTTTTTTTTGAGAGAAAATATAGTAGATCTCAACTTACTTAGGTTTACACTTTCAAATTCAGGAAAACTAGCTACCACTGGTTTAAGATTTTTCTGAGACCACTTTTCTTCAGAGATGATAGAACTAGAGATCCGCTCAATGCTATCAACATAGAACGAATTAAACTTATTGGCAGCATCTTGCTCAGTTTTTACCCTTGATATAGTGCCATCAGTGCTAAAGTTAATGCACTTGAAGTTCATATGCTGCTTCTCACCTTTTGTTAATTTTTTAATAGTTTTCCACATTTCTTTAGGGTCATTTTTATTTGAATCAATTTTATTTTCAAAGTATTGCAATTTTTTTATTTTCAGTAAATTAACAACCTCATTTCGTTTTGATTTATATTTATTCCACAACTCCTCTTTATTGGCATTGGAAGTTTTTCTGAAATCTTTATACAATTTGTCTCTTTGTTTTGATTACTACCATAATTATAACTGTCGTTTTGTTAAATTGAACTATAAAACAGCATACATCATTTGTTCACTTCTTACCATGTCTGCTCTGAATATTCAACATTTGATCTCATTCATAACGAATCTTTTGTTTTTTTTTCTACGAACCAATGCTCTTCCAAATATTCAAGTTTCAACATTTAACATTTCACAGCATTCGAGAAATCACCAATAAAAGTTCTCCAAACAAGGAAATTTCCCTTTTGTTTTCCCAATATAGACAGAAGCTATTATCTCTTGAACGTAATCTCATTCCAGGCGAGAAAATGCCCTTTTGAAACCGAACAGACCATCGATCACATCCCACCTACATATTTACTGTTTTTGACACTTGTCAGTCGAGAAGAGGAACTGAAAGATTGATGTTCCTTGTCTATTGGGAAAGTGAAGTGTTGGCTTTCTCGAACACAACCTCATTTGTTATCAACTAACAAGTTCTTCTTGTCATGAATAAGGGATCATTCATACTTCTAATTAGCAATGATTGAGGTGACTGAATTTCTGAAGATTATGTGCAAGAACTGAAGAGAAAAATCCACACTGAGAACTCTAAGAACCAAGATATATTGGTTGTTTCAAAAATGTTGTGTGTTTTTATGAGTGTACTTCAAACTGTGATGTCTCAGTGAATACTTATTCAATTCCACTTTTGCTAACGTAATAAAAGTCGATTAATCCCGTCAGCATAAATTATGTGCTCGGGATTTGATGAAGTCGACTAAGGCTGTTTTTATCTAGTCCTGATTGGCGAAGATTCCACCGGTGAGAGAGTTATTGAAGTGCTTGAAAAGATAGTATTCAGTTGGCGAGAGGTTGGCGAGTATGGTAGGTAGGGCATATCTTCGACGCTCAATTCGTTTGATTTTCGAACGGTGATTAGTGACACGTGCGGACGGGCGTTGTCGTGGACCAGGATCGAACCTTTTCTATTGACCAGTGCCGGCTGCTGCTGGCACAATTTCCGGTACATTTCGTCGATTTCCTCACAATAGGTCTCTGCTTTGATAGTTTTGACTGGTTGCAGAAGGTTGTAGTGAATCATACTAGTTGCCATACAGTAAGAGTTAAGTTAGATTAGAAGTGAGTGAGTCCATCCGACCCTCCGCCGCAACCCGCTAGGGTTTATTGAGGCTAACATCTATTCACGTCCGATCAAATAAACCCAGCTTCTTAACGAAGCCGATACATTCGTATGGTGGGTGGTCTTTCAGATAAGATGGTGAGAATACGGCACTGCCAAACTCTGAAAACCTGATTTGATCCCCAGCGTGGCAGGTACAAAGTGTGTGCTCTGCTGTTTCATTATTTTTCAAACAGAGGTGTCTGTCTTCCGACAGTCCGAGTCTCTGCATATGATGAGTCAAATGACAGTGACCTGTAAGAAGGCCTGTTAGACATCGTAGTTCATCCCTACTATAGTCCAACAAGTTTCGAGGGGTGGATAAACGCCTTGGAGTGAGCCAATCCTGGAAAATTCTGTTCCTGTTAAGGCGTTTAGGACAAACGTCCATATGAAGTTTTTTTCTTAAAATGGGTCTAAGAATTACCTCCTTGAATATTAGCATGTGTTTAAGGAACAACCTGTATATACATAGTATTTACAGGTTCAAATAAGAACATTCAGAAAATCGTATCTGGGAATTATTCAATAAATTTTTTGAACAAATAAAAAATTTCATTATGAGCCTTGTTCGAAACGTCATATATATGCAGACTGATACATAACTATATTCAACAATACAAAATAAATTTATTTCTAATAGATTTCAATTTTCAACAAAATAATAGTTTTGTTAATCTAACTACTCCACCAAAAACCTAACAGCGTATTCGCCAAATTTCAAAGTTAGTACATACATGTTAATGATAAAAGTGTACGTCAAAAATAACATCCAGAGTGGAATGAAATCGATTCCTATGTAAATATTCTACAATACTCTCNGGGGCTTCGGGGGATAGGGCCTGACCAGCGCACACTACGGTGAAAAAAATACTAATGATAATTAGCCTCTATAATTCTTATTTTTGAAAAAGGTGATCCAAGTAATATTGAGAATTAAAGACCAATCGCTTTACAAATTTTTTCAACACATATCAGGTTTAATGTGACAACCAGCATGGGTTCCGTAGTGGTTTTTCAACTGAAACAAGCGCGATATAATTTGTGCTATATGTCAACAACAAAATGGACTCTGGCAAATTTGTGATCTCAATTTTTTTTGGATCTGACTAGAGCGTTCGACTCGATCGATATTTCTTCCATATCTGATAAATTGAATAACCTTGGTGTCCGCGGCCTAATCAATGAGTGGGTCGTGTCCTTTCTCGAACGAAGAAAGTTCTTTGTTAATATTGATGACGTCATCTCGGAGGAATTTGAAACAGATATTGGTGCATTCCAAGGAAGCGCACTCGGTTCTCTAATTTTCCATTTTTCCATTCGCATAACTCAAGGAATGGTGCTTATGTATGCACATGATACTTGCATTACTGTGTCAGATATTTCATCTGAAAGACTATCCGAAAAAGTCAACACAATCCTAATAGAGTTCAAGGACTGGTGCTTTAAAAATAAACTTATGAATAATCATAAAAAGACTGAATATATAGAGTTTTATAGCAAACATAGAACACCTTTGCATTTACCGCTCTCATTTGAAGAAGTGTCAATTATGGATATAATAATGGTGAAGTTCTTAGGAACACAATTCGACTTCAACGTATCATGGAACTCGCATGTCGATATAGTTTGCGGCAAACTCAACATGTTTCTATGTGATTCGTACATGCTGGAACGAAAATGTGGTTAGTAACTTCTAGTACTGACCATGCTTTTTCATATTTTGCTTTATCTTTGTAATGGTCTTGTGATTTTTCACAGGCGGTGAAGTATGCATCACTGAAATACCCGAATCGAATTCGGTTTTTGACTCGATGTTTCATAACATTCAAAAATGTAATCTTTTTTTAACCATTATTTATGTTTGTCATTTTAATTGTACATAATCATCAGACACAATTCAATTTGTGAACTTGGACTAATCCGATCTATTTATTGTTAATAGGATATGGATGCAATAAATTTGAATTTGAATGTTAATAATAACATCAGAGCAAGACGATATTTGTCGTGGAGTTTTCAGCTCCTGGCGAGAAGAACATCGTCGAAAA